CCATTCTATGATTCTGTAATGTTTTCCATGATGTTAAGTGATGGATTTAGTTGTTTTGGGGTATTTTTTAGTGATGTAGGTTTGTTTTCATCTTTAACAAAATATATTTTATATTTTCCAGTTACAGTGCTATCAAAGCTTACAAGAAGGAAGGCAAGCTGGAAAGTCTCAGTGCAACCGAACACCTAGTGTCAGCTGCAGAGGCTGGTGAGTTTAAATGCAAAGAAGATCCAGTGTTTGCTTCTAGCCTTTCCATATGTTGCTCCCTGCCTTTGTCAGTGCTGCATTTTCTTACAGGTGGCAAGTGTAAGTGTTTGAGTCCAAATGCAATCACTTAATATATGTAAATATGTAAATGATGTTGAAGATGAATAGATGGATCACTGTGGCCTATTTGAATTTTGCTCATGAATAGCAGTTGTCAAAACACCTTTTGACTTTGTTTGCATTGTGCACAAGTGTTTTCAATATTGATTCCCAAAGTACAACTACATAAATCTGCTGCTATTATCTTGTTAACTTGTTAAGTGTTTAACACTGAGACCTGGAAAAGAGAAAGCCTACAGAAGTTAACAGAGTAAGTGAATAAGTTAATAGGATAAGTGAATTGATCATTGGTCTTTGAAAAATCTTCATATATGATCCAAGTTTTCTTGGTAACTAAAGACCTGAAATAAAAATACAGCTTCAATATCTTGTTTCTAATATACGTTCTTGTACATGCTTCTATGTTGTATTTAATCTAGGCAACTGAGAAGACTTTTTATTATGATACTGGAGCATTCCTTTAGTGTTGAAACATAAGGCATACTGTTTGATGTGAAAAATAGTAATGGGTTATTTTACAACTCTCTTTTCAGTAACTTACAAAGCTATGACAGGTTACTTCATAAAGGTTATTTTAGCCTTTCAATATGATTAAGCAAATTTCTCATGACTGAGATGCCCATTAAACTTTGAACAATTGTATACCAGAAGAATAACTTGGGTAATCAGGAGTATATTACGAAATTACTTATGTTTCCTGTCTACTACAGATTACTAACTGTGGAAAGGTGAGGCAAAAAAGGGGATGTACTAGGAGAATGCAAAAAGCTGTATGCTCTACAGAAATACCCCCAGCAGGAGTACATTGGACTTGATTGTGAGGTTGGGAGGGAACAATGGTGGGCATAAACCTCTCCTGTATGAGAACTCTTGTAGAATAAGTAGTTTTGCCATTGTAGAAGCCTGTGTTAACACTGAGCTGAACAAACTGGGCAAGCTTTGGAGTTGGCAGTACAATCCGTCTAACTTCCCTCTCTTCTCAGGAGCCATGACTCTCTGTATTACGAACCCAATATGGGTAACGAAGACACGACTTGTGCTACAGTACAACGCTGGTGTTGATCCATCCACGCGGCAGTACAGCGGAATGTTTGATGCTCTTATAAAGATATACAGGACAGAGGGCATACGTGGCTTATATAAGGTAATGATATCTAAGAAAAATTCCAGGATGGGCTGGCACCATTCAGTAGCATGGTGAGACTTGTAAATGCTTGTCTAGAAATAAAAATGAAAGTCATTTTTTGTATTAGCTCACTTTTATTCTGTGAGTCTTCTTTCCCACTGAAGAACTGCAGCGAAAAGGCTTAATCAGAAGAAAAGCTATTGTACTGTTGAAATGTAGGAAATCACTGAAGAATAGAGTGTAAGCTTTATGGCTAAGCCATCTTCTGTTGGGTGATAATGCTGAAATGAGAGTAAACTACAAGCCGCTTTTTAATTTCTTGGAGTCTTCCTATAATTAGAATCTGGATAAGGAGAGCAGCAATAACGTGATCTATCTTGCTGCTAGTGCTTTCTTCCATTTCATCCTTTATCTCTGCCCTGCTGACATCTTGAGGAACGTAACATATGACTGAAGTAGTTGCTAATTTTTTCTTCCACGATGGACAGTTTCACAACTGCTCATTTGCCCTCTAGTTATTGAGGTCTGTAATCTGTCATCTCTAGATCCATAACATTTTCAGATTTCTAAATACAGTCTGTGTATATGTGGGGGTTTTATTCCCTTTAATTTAGGGAAACAGATGGCAACTGGATTTGGACTTTCTGCCTCCTCTTCCTTCAGGCCATGACATCAAGAAGCATTCGTCAGTGCCTTGAAGGTGTGAAGAAACCTATTTTAGTTCAGTCTGGCTCTTCTCCTGCAAGTAATGCTTTAGAAGAACACTCTCTCTTAGGAGTTGTCCTCATTACTGAACATTAACTTCTTTTCTTTGCAGTGAAAAATATAATCCTTCCTGTGCTGAAATACTAATATGCCACATACTGATGAAGGCCAAATTCTGACACGGGGAACAAGGCACCTCTACTTATTCCTAAATTGAAATTGTCAGGGTTTCGGATTTGCCTGCCTGGATGTCTGCTCTGTTCCATGTAGATAAGTTCTAATGTCTTGCATCCGCTAGGGTTTAAGACGTCTTTCCACTGAACTATTTTTCAGATTATTCGTGCATGTAGCGTGTGTTGCCTTTGGCACCAGACACTTCTTTGCAGTGTTAATCTGCATGTCGGGAGCTACACCAGGTAATTCCTTTGAAAGAGAAAATTACTTGCTTAAATGGGCAAAGAAGGTGACCTAGATAGGTCCTGAATGGCCTACATAACTATGCACACTGAGTAACTACCGTTTAACACTGGGATTCTCTCAACCTTGTCTATACTCGGGGAAAAAAAAACCTCTTCAGGTGGCTCTTTGGCTTGTCCGTACTTCAGCCTTCCTCTATATCCTGTTTTTAGGGGAGTTTTGATTTTTTTTCCTCTTTCTTGCTTTATTTTCAATTTGATGGATGAATCTTTGTTAACTGCCCTGAGTTGCAGGGGCTGTAGTGAACACAAATGTGTCTTTCCTCATAATATTAATTTCAGATAGAGTTCCTTAGAGCAAATAAGGGGGTCTCGGAGAATACCACCATGAGTTGGAAATAAAACCTGGAAGTAGTTTCTTCCTGATAACTTGAGATCAGTCTTCTAAAGAACTCAATTTCTGTCCAAGCAATTCTGCATCTTTCTCTCTATTGCACAAGATGCTGTTACTGGTCCATGCAATTTTCTCAGAATCCAGATGAAGAAACTAAACAGATTACAAGGGGAATCTGCTGCATTCTTTCAAAACGTACAGCAGAGGCCGCTCTGATGTGAGCGTGCTCAAACACTTCAGGCAGCGAAGTGAGTACCACATCACCAAATGAACCTTGTTCCCTACTTTACTAGGAAGCATGGACTTTCTGCTCTATATGTTTGCCTCTGTTCCTTTTCATGGTGATGGGCAACCTTGGAAACACTAACCAATGAAACGTTTTTCTCCTGTCCTGGATCTTTGACACTTAGAGCTGTTTAAGCCATCTTTAAAATACGTTTTTTTTTCCCACTGTCTACTGTTCAGAATTATATGCTTTAACTTATTAATTATATATTTAATTCTGTGTATTGTTCTAATCCTCCGAAAGAGAATTCAAACAAGATTCTTTCAGCAAGCATTGATCCTGTCAAGGCCTCATGGCAAAAATCTTGTAAAGATATGTTTTGAATATTAAAGTAAAAAAGAAGTGCATGCAGCGTAATGACTTTAAAGTTGATCCTCATAGTCATACTGTAGACAAACAATAAATACCAAATTCTGTCTAATTTTGTGGCAAGGAAGATTTTTGTGTAAAGCTGTAAGAATAAGAAAATGGAGTAGGAATATCTTTCAAAAACATCTTCAGCCAAGATACTTCATTACTGTGAATAAATCAGTTTTGCTTTGCAACATTTTTCCATAAGAACACATTGTTTTGTATGATCAATAGAAGCCAGGGTCAGCTCTTATTTTACTGATGTGCACTGGCCAACATTTGCCTCACTCCCTTCTTGAATTTTTTAATATTGGCCCAACATTAAAAGTCCTTCAGTCTTTGGAAGCTTTCCCCATCAGCACAAGACTTTGAGCGTGCTGGTGCTCATTTAGCAAGTATCATCAGTAGATGCTTTAGGACTCTTGGGTGCAAGTTATCCAAATCTGCTGGCTTAAAATTTTAAGAGTTTAGCACTCTTAAGTGTTGTTTAACATTTTTCTTTTGTTGGTGGGGAAAATACTACCTCATTCTTCTATGATATAAATACATCGTTCTAATTCTTTCCAAGTAGAGAGCAATTACTTCCTCTGTCTTCTAATGGTTTTACTGTCTAACCGTGGGCAAATGTTTGTGAAGATTTTCCCTGCTATCTCTATACATAAATTTCATGCTGTTCCTTGTTCTCCTGATGCAGATAATTTTTCATTAGATATTTTTGATGATTTTGTTTTTCTCTGTTCCTCCTCTTTTTTTTTTTTTTTCATATTACTGCTTAATTTTCTTTTCTGATCCAGGATTTCTGAAAACCAACATTGTCCTTTTCCCTCTGTTATGGCCCTTTGGCTTCAAACTTCACAAAATTCTATGGTTTGCTCACAGCTGATGAAATGTAGATGCTTGCTTTAATGCCACTTGTTCTCATTTGGGGAAGTATTTTTTTCTGGGACTTTGTCGTGGTTTAACAAGCGCATACTTTAGCTAGCCCTTAATGCATTTTGTCAGTTCATGGTCACTGATGATTAGTTCATCACCATTATTTTCTACTGTACAAAGAAATTAGTCCTCATTTATCAGAGATCTAAACAGTCACTTCCTGAATGGCTGCAATGTCGTAAATTTAAGAAATCTATAGCATGTAGAGAGCTGATCTCTGAAGTGGTAGAAGCTCTGTGTAATTTTTATGCTTGCTGTTCTAGTTGGGTTTTTTTTTCCTGCAGGTTAGGAGTTTATAAATAATTTATCATTTTGTCCTGGTATGTTGTTCCAGTGGACTCCTACCAGGATCCCTTCTCCTTTTCTCCTCCCTCTTCAAGCTCTCAGTAGTATATTGATAAGTCTTTATTCAACATTCTGGGCTTATGATTTAGTCTAATACAGAGATTCATGTCTGGACACATCTTTTAATTCCTACCTTACCTGAGTGGATCATAGAAATAAGATAAAACCGTTTATCTCAATACCAGTATATTTTGGGAAATTTTCGTTCTTTATGTCTTTTTACCCACATTTTGATGACTTACTCCATTATAATTGTCCCTTTGCAACAGTTTTCAGCAAGCTGTTGGCTCCCTTAGGTCATTTCTGGCCAAGATGATTAATTCTCCATTTATTTGTATTTTTCCAATATAAGTGACCAACTCTTCAAAAAGAATTAGTGCTTCTCAGAACCCATGCAGCTGTCAGCTCATTTTAAACGGAGCTAGTCCTGCTTCCGAAGGAATTCTTCCTGCCTTCTTTCTTGTAGAGACACTTCGGAAAATACCTGTTTTCCCACTTCATTTCAATTTTTTTGAAAGAAAAGGATTCTGTATGTTTTCATGTACTCTTACCTTCACATGCTCTTATTGTCCATTACTGCTTCTTACAAATGGAACCCATCTCCCAGACTACTTTGTTACACCTTTGGTCACGTCTGCTGAGCTGCCTTGGGATGAGCACTGAGTAGGGTGAGGAATGCATTCAAACTTAGAATCTCAGATTTATTTCTTTAACGTAAATCATCCCTAAGTCCTGTATGAGTTAGCTTTCTATCTGTGCCCTTCAGCTTTCCACTGTGCAAGTGTGTGTGTGTAAACGACATTGAGGGGCTGGAGCGTGTCCTGGGAAGAGCAACAGAGCTGGGGAAGGGTCTGGAGAACAAGTCCTGTGGGGAGCAGCTGAGGGAGCTGGGTTTTAGCCTGGAGCAAAGGAGGCTGAGGGGAGACATCATCGCTCTCTACAACTACCTGAAAGGAGGTTGCAGAGAGCTGGATGTCAGTCACTTCTCCCAAGTAACAAGACATAGGACAAGAGGAAACAGCCTCAAGTTGTGCCAGGGGAGGTTTAGACTGGATATTAGGAAAAATTTCTTCACCAAAAGGGTTGTCAGGCCTCATAACAGGCTGGAACATGACTGCAGCTTGATTTGTATTCTTAAAATCCTGATCCATGTTCCCAGCTTTGTAAGACCTCTGCTTGCGCTCTATGCGGTGGAGTTCTGAGGCCACTTGTTTTATCTTGCTCGCTGATTAGGTGCCTTTAGCCCATCTGTCATTTGGAGAGAAGTAACATTTATTACACTCGTGTGTGATGCCTGCCATTAAAAATACCAACCCACCATCAGCTTTCGGTCATACTGCCCAGTGACAGTTGTACAGTCACAATCTGTAAAGTGATGGAGGACATACGTATGTGTGTAAGCTGAGCTCTGTCAACTTGCATGGTTTCTGTGCATTGCTGTTTAACTTTGGTTTATTCCTTTTGTGTTTTAAGGGATTTGTGCCTGGTCTCTTTGGAACTTCACATGGAGCACTTCAGTTCATGGCATATGAGGATTTGAAACTGAGATACAACAAATATAGAAACAGAGTATCAGATACAAAATTGGTATGATTTTTGAGAATAAAAATGTGTTGTGGCATGTGAATAAGCAGAAATTTATTCCATTTGTCTAGGTTGTAGAACAGCCAAGTGTACAAACTCTTGATACATTAATTGGAATGTAGAATATATAGAAGGAAACTATACTTTTTGTACTTTTTAGGAAAAAGCAACTGGTTTGCTCTGTTTTCATGTAGGAAAACCGATTTCTTACTTTGGCAAGTGTTCTGAGAATTTTAGAGAGAGGAATGGCTTTTGGTCTTACTTTGTGGAACCATAGGTGGTGGTGGTCTTAGACGTTTACATGGAAAACTGGTCAGGTGCAAGCTGGGCAAAGGTAGTTACTTTCCAGAAGTATTTCACTTGGTAGGAATGAGGGCACAATGTTCTACAATTACTTACTTGAAACATTGTATAGAGTGAACATTTTTTCAATGTACGTATTGATTATAAGGGGGGAAAATCTAGAGAATTATTTACTTCAGCATTTAAAAATCAAATAAGATTTTGGGAAATTGGCTAATTTAAACCATACTTAAGGCAAGCCTGATAATTTTTGTTGCTTTTAGAACACCGTGGAATACATAACGATGGCAGCTGTATCCAAAATATTCGCTGTGTCAGCAACATATCCCTATCAAGTTGTGCGAGCTCGTCTTCAAGACCAGCATAATACATATTCTGGTGTGTTTGATGTGATCAGCAGGACGTGGAGGTAGGCATGCAGATTTAAAAGCTTAAGTCTTGGACGGTGAGTCTTACAGCATCAGAACGATGTTTACTGGCTTCCATGCTGACCTGCAGAACCAGCGCAGCTCAGAGCAAACAAAATGTTGGCTGTACAAAGTCATTTTGTGCAAGATGCTGCGAATAGCAATAATCGGAGGACAAAGGAGGAGATCGGAGAGGGTCAGTGCTAGCTTGCAGGCTTCTGTTGTTTATCCTGTTTCTCTTTGCACTCCTCCAGAGAATTTCACTTACTGGTTAAAAAATAACACTGAGTTGGCGTGCTGGGGCTCTTAAACAATGAAGTCTCACTTAGAATCATAGAATCATAGAATGGTTAGGGTTGGAAGGGACCTTAAAGATCGTCTAGTTCCAACCCCCCTGCCATGGGCAGGGACACCTTCCACTAGACCAGGTTGCTCAAAGCCTCATCCAGCCTGGCCTTGAACACTTCCAAGGATGGGGCATCCACAGCTTCTCTGGGCAACCTGTTCCAGTGCCTCACCACCCTCTCTGTGAAGAATTTCTTCCTGACATCTAATCTAATCTCTTGAACTGCTTTAGATTATCACATATGACAGGAGTGTTGTGCTGCTGGGAGTTGTGGCTAATCCAAATTCCTGGCAGGAGGAAGTGAACCAGCCAGAGCTGTTTATATTGCTGTCCCTGGCTTACCCTGGGGCCTGACTGCGTTTTAGTCTAGTCCCAGCTTCCCTGTAGGACCTTTAGAGAACTGTTACCTCACACCTATGCATGTCTTCTCACGAACCCGCTTCCCTCAGCTCCACAAGGCATTTGAGCTTTCACACAGAACTCTCGCATTACCAAGGGTGGCCACCTTAGTATGCAGCCTATGTTAATCTTGCTTTGGACAATGATTCTGGGCTACAGCATATTGCTAGAGATGTGAACGGAGTCACCTCTCTCCTGGGGTACTAAGAGCTGCCACCTGGATGAGTGATGAGGCTGTGTTGTTCCAGGAGCAGGGGTGCAGTATAACCCTTTCAGCTGAAGCCAGTTCAAAGCAAAAACAGCCCTGGTGTCTCAGTGCTGTACCTTTCAGTGCTGTAGTCTGTAGGAAGGCTTGTTAGTTCTGATAAAGTGTGAGTGTGTACAGCTGTTCTGGGGCCACTACTGTACTCACTATGAAACAGAAGCAACCTAGAGCCCTAGAGAGGATAGTGTGCACTTTCCAGGATCTGTGTTAACTGTCCTCATCACCCCAGGTGTCCTAGTCCTCTATGAAGCCAAATAGGGACCTGAAATGAAAAGTCTTTGAAGCTTGTTAACAGCCCTAACATGAATACTCTGATTCAAACTGGGAGAAGTTAGATTCTCATTTATTGGCCAGTGGTATCAAAATTCTGGAGGAGGTGCTTTAATTCTCTGAAAATAAATGCTGACTTCCCTTTCCTACGTTGACCCTCAGCTCACTTGTGTTACATGGCCCTGTAGTGGTTTAACCCCAACCAGCAACCAAATACCATGCAGTCACCCTGCTGGCTTCAGGGAGTTTAAATACGTAAATGCTTTTTGGAACAGGCCACAGAAATTTTAAGTTATTTTAACCAGTCTTGTGGCATAAAGAAAGTAAATTGCCTCCTGGTTAGACACTACCAAAAAAAAAAAACAACCCAGCATAAACACCAAACCCTAAGCTAAATAACTGCCTTACAGAATAGCATTGTATGTTCAGAAGAGAAAATGATGGGTTAAGGTTTGACAAATTATGGCTCTTTAAACACCAGAGTAAGAAATTATTCTGAAATTGTTACTCCTAACCTGAAGTACCCCTCTCAGTGAAAGCATGAGAAGAAAAATGCCAGGCTTTGGTTTATGTGTGATTTCTATTAAGAGGCATTAATTAAAACTAAATGTTTTTCTGTGTCTTTAAAGGAAAGAAGGAATTCATGGATTTTACAAAGGAATTATCCCCAATGTGATCAGAGTGACTCCTGCCTGCTGTATCACCTTCGTTGTTTATGAAAATGTGTCTGGTTTTCTACTTGGCTTTAGAAAAGAAAATAATTAAAGGTACGAGCTTGTGTTCATAAGGAATCTAGCCTTTATTTTTTTATATTTATGATCTGGGAGAGGTTTAGTTCAGGAGCCTCTTTTGACACTGTGAATTGCTGTAGTATTTTGAGGGAAGAACCTGGAGGTAGTAAAACCCTGCCAACATCCCCTCTGCTGAATGTTCCTGCGGTGCTGCCTTCTTCTCTGCATCAGCTGTGTCTGCTTGAAACAGATATCTGCAACTGTGAAATAGTAACAGCACTGTGATTGGGTGAAAGCAGCTGTGCAGCAGTTCAGTTCATCCTGGCCTGCCTGGAATAATGGACTAATCTGTTTTGACAAGTCTCGAGGTAACAGTTGTTCACATTCTACTCCTACAGAAGATGAAAACTTCATATAAAAGCAGCTCTGGGGTCTGCCAGAACTGAAATCTTGATCTGAGTCTCATGAAGAAAGTATGTATGTAGTTGTTTACACCAATGCATTCTGAATCCACCTCTGTGTTATTTGTCAGATTTTAGGATATGGAATGCTCCAAATTCCACTGCTCATCCAGCACAAAAATGCTGCCTCAGCGGGGTGCAGTTTGGAAACTCAGATTGTTTTGTACAACAGTTGTCCAGTCTTGGGTCTGAATAATTGCCAGTCTGATGAAACCCAGTTCTTGTCTCATACCAGGACAGACTTACATTGTGGTTTTTAGCTTGCTTTTAGCACCAGACCAGAGTATATGTTGTGTGCATTGCTGGCCACTTACTTCATTCATTTCCTCTCTATTCCCTGCCTGCTCCCCTGCCCCCCTCTCAGAGAGATTCTCTCTCCATTACTGACACATCTCACCCAATATTACTAAGTAAATGCATATTTGAAAGTAGGCTTTCATCTTAAAAATGATGGGGGTTTTCTGGTCATCCCATAGTGATGCAGTTTTCAAACCACTGTAATAACCAATATGACCATGCTTATTTTCAATATTATTCTTGTGGGGGGAGCGGGGGGAGGGAAATCTATAAGTAGTCTCAAAAATACTGTGCACAGGACTTTCTTTAAAAAAAGAATCCATTTGGTCTAAGGAAAGGACTGTAAGAAAATATTGATTGCTAACTTAGTGATAAACTGAATTACAGGACATCTCAGTGAATTTGTATAGTAATGTTTATTTGCATGCCAATAATTCCTGTCAAGGATATGTACTTTTTGGAGATCTGGGTTTGTTTTATCGTTTTAATTCTTCTTTAAGAAAAACCATTACTGGCCATAACATCTGCCTTTGCTGTTAGTAAGAAGGTATTAAGAAGTATCTAGAAAGTAGGTCTTAACTAAGGAGGAAGTAAGCTGGAAAAGTCTATTCAGTGGGTAGGGGGATATAATCAACTTCGTAAGGAGCGACAATACTATCCAGCAAAACACCTGAATAATCACTTAAAGAAGTTTCCTGTTGAACAGAAGACTAACCTAACGCAAAAATAAGGGGGGTTTATGGAAATTTAACAGATTGCTTTCAATTTTAAGTTACAGTCTGGAAGACTGCATACCACATGTTGTGTATACTTAACTTTATTAATAATTTCCACTTTCTCCTGCATGATGCCATCCCCTCTACTGGTACAGTTGATAATCTCATCTGAAAAGGGCATGTGACCATTATGGCTGGCTTTGGTTTTTATTATGAAAGTTTCCATGTGTATTTAAACTGGAAGTTTACCATGCAAATTACTGTATGTAACTCCCTAACAGCTACTAACTTCTACCTTTGGAGGGTGTTTACTTGGCTTTGCATGTTTTCTGGTACGCAGAATGAATTTCCTGGAGCACCGAGTTAATTCTGCCATCCAGGTTTCAAACATATTGCAAAAACACATGAAAAAATCATAAGAAAAGAATAAAAGTTGTGCACTTACTACCCTGGATTAGTGTTCTCTAGTCCCAGAAAAGCTTACTCCTGCCCCAGGATAAATGCAAAGACAGGCTAGGAGCATATACACAGTCAGTTACTGTATGTTAACTGACATTCTGTAAATTCACACCATAGCTTAGCTCATAGTAACTTATTTGTGTTCAGATACCTTAAAACCCATCGTCCAAGCCAACGAAAACAGTGCAGTTCTTCAGAGACAAAATACCAGCTGTAGCATTTGCTGGCTTGCAGCAGTACCATACATCATACGCTTGCGGTTGGGAAAGCCTGAATGCTCCCCCAGCTGCAGGGGTGTTCCTCTGAGGCTCTGAACAAAAGCGGCAGACAAGAGCTACCAATCTGAGAGATGCCTGGCAAAAATAACCTGTTCAGAAAAAAAGATGAGATTTAATCCTAAATAGCTGTAATAAATTCCTCATCTCAGATGTAAGGTTTTTCCTTTTAATTTCTGGGAAGAGTGTAGATTTCTGCATGTTGTACATGCTTTTTCTTTGTATTTTTATTTCATTAGTGTAAATGTGATTTTGTAATATAAACGTGACTGTTGTTTCCCTTGAGTATCTGTACAATTTTTTAAAATATTTCAGTATATCACTTGTTGCATTTGGAAGAAAAAACTTAAAACACTGAAGCTAATGCTGTGCTGGCATGATCAATGTTGTCACTGGTCCAGCCTGGAGGCTGCAGGCAAAGAGCTGTGACATCATTCTTTCACTTTATCAGTACTTTTCGAAAGCCACAGCACTTCAACCTGCCTTATTTCTGTATCTTTCAAACTACTTAATATAGATGTCCCTGCCTGTGGCAGGGGGGTTGGAACTAGGTGATCTTTAAGTTCCCTTCCAGCCCAAACCATTCTGTGATTCATTCTATGATTCTATATCTAGCTTTTAATTAACGCCAGAGTGATTGTGTGTATCTGAAAGGCTAAATCCATGACAATTATTTTACTGGAGCAGTGAAATGAAGTTTTGTGACTGTAATATTACTGAAGTACCTTCACGCTAGTAGTGGTGACCAGTAATAGATGTTTATACTGAAATCCACTCAGTCAAGAAGCAAAAGAGAGAAGGACAGCTTAGATAGTCTATTTTTACTTAGTTGCTCAGAACGAGGTATTTAACGCTTACCACATCGTCGAGGTCACAGTTAAGTCACTGGGAATTTGTTGAGAGACTTGAGACTAACAGCAGAGCATCCTATTCCGTAGTCAGGTTCCCAGGAGTAGTTGTTACGTATGTTTTCTGAAGGCTAAAGCCAAGACCTGAGTTTACTTTCCTAGAATTTTCTATGAAGTCTTCTAAAGAAATCAGTTGTGTATCACACACCATGTGACACACCTCAAAAGCAGTTTGATGATCAATAAAATAGCCTGGAGTTGTTATAAAAGGTCTTATTTATTTGATACAAAAAGTTACAGTTAATTCTTAAAATGCTGGTGGTATATTTTTATATGTCAAACAAGGAATTAAAAAAGTTAATGAACTTGGGTTTGATATTTATATTCTAAAATCGTTATTATAAAAAGCCTCCGCAACGTGTAAAAAAAGGCTGGACAGGCTACAGGAGTGCGGTGCCGTCCAGTCAAAGACTTGCATCCAGCTCTACAGAAACGAGTTCTGAAGAAAATCGTACAAAATATTAAAAAAAAAAAGGGAGAGATTATACAAAGGGAGGGAAAATTATTTTGGCAGTTCTTCAATGATGATTCGGGAGACCGAATTCCATCCAGTAGAAGCATCTCCGCGTGGATAATCTGAGCAAGTCCCGACCCAGATGGCGATATCCACCAAGCCGGCATTGATCCCTTCGCACAGACCTTCCACTGGTTAAAGACAAAGATGGGGTTACCTGGGCAGGCACAACGGCCTTGTGCTTCATCGCTGAGGGGGGATGGGCTACTGGCGAACAGCGGTTCGTGGCAGGCGCTTACGCCCTTTCGTCGAACCTGAACAGCGTTTTTAGAAATGAAGCTCGGAGTTTGTGACCGCACGGGGCACAGGGTCGCGCGCTGCCTTCTGCCGTGCTGCTTCATGGTGTCTGCTGCCATACCCGAGGCAGATCACAATCCACAGGATGGCTAAATGGGACGTACGCCCCGCTTCTTTAATGTCCCAGTTAAAAACTGGTGGCTGGGATACGGCTTCAATCCCATCCAGCCATCATCTTAGCGGTGATGGGGAGGGGGGAATGGGGACACAGCCATACCTGGCTTCTACAGCTGAGTCTGCAAAGGGGATTGCTACCCTCTAACCTTTTCCACTCCTAATTCCCGGCTTCTGTATGAAAGTTCTGCTTCTGTTGCCCCTTTTTTCCCCTCCTAGCACCACCAGCTGGACGTGGGTTAATGAAGACAGGTGGGACCTACCCCATCACAAAGAAAACCTAGCGTAGCTGTAGACGTGAGCCCTCACACAGCCATGAAGTAGCACAAGGAGGAAAATGGGCTCTTTATGGACTTGACGTTAGTCCCCTTTTCCTACTGAAAAACTAACTTTTCCTCCTTTTATGTTGAATGGCTTCACTAATTCACCTTTTAGTTAACAGAATAATTGCCCCTCGATATTTTGCTTTGGAGGTACTTTTGTGCCCCACCTGAAAACTGCAGTAGAAATTGCAGGAGGAGTAGGAAGTCTGACTTCATGCACAGATAACGTGCAGATACCAATACGTTACACCAGGATGACGCTGTCTACCTGGCAGTAAATCCATTTCTCCATGTGCTAATACAGCACAGAACGTCTCTGCGGAACTGCCTGGACAGAGATCTCCCGTGTCTACACTGCAGGACGGAAGTACCATGAAATACCACCGCAATAAAGCACCATTTCATAAACAATTCTAATACTGCCACTACTGATAATCGACTGTGAGGCAGCAGAGTAAGGAACAAGTGTTGACTGGCCACTCCTCTGTCAGCCCTTTGACCTCCCTCTGCATTTGGTAGCTCAGTCTGCTCCTGGCTCCCATTCCCTCCCTGTTCACAGGGTCTTGGCATACATACCTGAAGAAGTGCGGTGGATATTAATAGTAGAATTCAGCTCCGGGCTTCCTTGGTCTAAGTATATTATGGCTTCAATAGGAAGCGGCCCAGCACATTCGGCTCCGTTAAAAGTGAAGTACCAGCGCTGACAACAGGCATTTTTGCATTTTAGCCGAAGTGATCCACTGAAGAGAACGCGGAGGGCGCTGTTGGAACGCATCTTTGTAAATGTACATTCCTAAGAGGAGACAGAAATGTTTTTGGTACCAAACTCTGGTTTTCAACCTACTTATTTTCTATATATTCATTAAATACATTTATATTTAGGAATATATTAGGAGTAAATTTATTTCAGAAGGTGTTGGCTATTCTCTTTAGTCACTACCCTTGGGAGAAAAGGTAGTGGAGCCTGGCAAACACCATATGATACAAAGATGCAAATCAGA